TCGGGCGAGCCTGGCTCATCCACATCAGGGCAGAATAGGGTTAGCTGTCCTAAATTTGAACCCCATTTAACCATCTGGTTTCAACATCAAAAATGTCATATTGTAAACTGTTAGCACTACTGCTGTTCAGAAATCATCAGGCCACTAAGACAGACTCTCCTGAGTCTAGGTTGTTTTGGAAGGCCAGCCAGGTCTCTATTTGACCAAGCAAGAGATTTGGGGGGATTACTGTTGTTCTAGCAACAGCTAGGACTGTTGTTCTAGCAGGTATAGATTCTTGGGATGTCAATACCTGCTTGAATGTTTCACTTGACTTAAATCACAGCAAGTGCTCTCCTGCAGCAAGAGAGCACTTGCTATGAATTCAAGTCCAGGTACCAATAAACTCTTATATAGATTCCTTGAGAGGTTTTTTGCTCCATCAAAGACTAGAGAGTTCCCTTCCTGTTCATTTAAATGTGTGAGGGGCAGTCAAGGGGACTCCCCCCCCCAGGGGGCTTTTGGTGACTTTTGACAGCCCCAACTGTCATGGGTGATAATTTCATCTGGAAAAAAATTATCAGCAAAATGTCTGATCCAGGGAGAAGGAGAAGGGATAGAATAAACGAGGCATACAATTCTAAAAGTAGTTAAGGCAACTGATACCACTAGCATGGAGAATTTGAGCCTATGACTCTTTTGCTGTGCTGTATGGAACTCATCACAATTTGATCTGGATTATTTTGGGTTACCAGATAATCTCTCTTTTTTTTGGTGTCCATCCTCTTTGGGGCTTTTTATTTTGTAAAAATGATGAAAATGTCCTCTTTTTGGGTTGAAAGGTTAGGAACATTCCTAGTTAGTAACAATTACCACAGCTTAAATAGTAGGGGCATTTAAAATGAGATTTGTCATAGTGATCACTTGTTTGAATTAGTCAGTCAGGAAATATGTCCTCTTTTCTGCTTTTCAAAATATGGTAACTTTAGGATTATTCCATTAGCATTCCAAGATCATGTACGATAAGAGATTAACATCTTGGAATTTCATACAACAGCAATATACATACTCAGAGTGCTATGTAAAGCATTTCCACTATAGCTTAGACTGTAAAACGTTTTATAGCAAGCTTTATATTGCAACAAATGCTACACTCCCCTCTAGTGGAAAGGAATGTAATTGTACTGGAAGCTCTCATGCAAAACCCAATTCACACACATTTATTGTGGTCAAGAGATGTGGAGCAGAACTTTTTCCTCAGAAAAATAATGATTTATGTTTCATTAGATTAATAACAATGAATGAATGTCATAGCCAATATGACATTAGGCAACCTTAGCTGTTTCAAAGTTGTAATTAATTTTTTTTTTACCAGATGATTGTCCCTAGAAATTGTGACAGACATTACAGATATGTTTTGTTGATCTGTAAACCATGGGTGAAGAGATAAAGCCACAAATACATATATATAATAATGAAAAATTTAAAAATCAAGCTATGATGTCAAATCAACTGAAGGTAAGATTCTCTTGCCTCAGAGATCTCCATGGAACAGAGTTAAAGTCTGCAGAAACCGAAGATCGGACCAGGTCTCAAGCATGGTTCTATGAGTGAGCCAGAATTAGTATTAATTCTGATTAAGAGGTTTTCCCCTGTACATTTAAATATTCTAAGGAAAGTGCATGCTACATAGTCTGTAAAATTTTACAAATATTATTTCAATAAAAGCTTTGAAATTGTTTAAGTATAATATTTAAAGCTGACTTGATTTGCATTTCCCCCAATGCTCAAATATTTCAGTTCAAAGAGTTGTTTAGTGCTGGAGAATCTGGCTTGCCCACATATCCTGAGTTATCACAGCAGGGGCAGTCTTAGCCAATGGACAAAAGGAACAGCTACCCCAGCCTCATGCTTGGGGGTAGGATTGCCCATGCCTCTCAAAGGTGGGGGAAAGAAGAAGAAAAGGCTCCTACCTCTGCTTGTAGCTGTCCTACCTACCTTCAGCTTGAACAGCTGTCTTCTGACAGCAGCAGAGGCTCCCTTCCACCTCACATGGAGTGCGGGCCACCCCTAGCTTGGTCCCAGGCTAGTGGCAGGTGGCCATGGTTCAAGGACCCCATCCCGGACTTTTCCCCAGGGCCCCAGAATCACTAAGACCACGCCTACACCACAGTCCCAATATAGCTCTCTCTCTGAAACCACAGCCTACAACAATGAGAAGTCATTAATGAACTGAGCTTACACAACCTCATAATATGAAGCAGCATTAGGACTCAGTGTGCTCTGCTCTGACTGAAGAGATGCCTATTTGGTTACATGCTGCTCTGGTATTTATCAAATTTGATAGGAAAAGATTTGATATTAGCAATTTTGCAGGAACTGCAAAGAGATTTTTTTTAAAACGCTTAGGAGCAGAAACTAATGCAAACACAGACAATGCACTATTGCAGTTTTCAGTTCTTCTTGTCACAATTTCACAGTAACAGTAAGCTAGGTTCCCTTTAAGCTGCGCCAGGCTGCGCTGGTGCACCAATCTCCCGTGACCAGTGCAGCAATTTTTTTCACAGCGCAGGGGCAGGAGGTTCCCCTCCCAATGGCCATGCAGCACGGATCCATTTGCCCAGGCAGCACAGAAACACAGCAGTAAGATTTGTTTCCCAGTCTGGGCTGGCACCGCCTCCCCTCAGCCAGGGTTTGCTTGCCCTATGAAAGGGGGTGCTGCTGCTTTGCCCGGGCCTGCAGTCCCCTGCCTCGTGCTCCTGGAGATACAGGAGGATTGCTCTGTTGCCCAGCTTCTTCCCTTCCTGAGGTGAGTCTCCTGGTCATTTGTTTTGTCTGGGGATGTGGGGGGGAGGTCAGCTAGAATGGCCAGGCTGGGATCCCCATGTGTTTGCAGGGGAGGCTGCGTGCACCTCTTTTCATTCCCAGGCTGTTTCTCTTCCCTTTGGGTGGGTGGGGGGAGAAGAGGGCTTTGCCTCTTCCGGAGCGGCACCTCAACTAGCTGCAGGACCGGCTCCCTCGGCTCTCAGCGTCTCCCCTGTCTGCTTGCCGGCTGGTCCCCATCCTCACTTCCCGCTGCCTGCACTCCTTTGGGCCCCTGCGGCCTGTGCCGCAGCGGGGCTTGGGCATGCCCCCAGCAGCTGTCCTTCCATCACTCCCCTCCTGATGCCTTCCATCGCTCCCCTCCTGATGCCGCTCCCCTCGGCTGCCCCACCACTGTCCCGCCATTGACTGCAGGTCTCATCTCCCTGCATTGCCCAACCCCGGCTCCTGCCTCCCCCGGGGGGGGGGTCTGGTCTCACCCGCCAGGCCGACGGGCAAAGAGGTTTTGTTGGAGGGGATGGAAGTCGTGGCTCCCTCCAAGCCTGGGCATCTCTCTCTGGTGGGTACAGCGGCAGGAGAGCTCTCCCAGTGCTGCTGCAGCTGTCGGCCAGGCCCCCTCACCGGCCGCTGAGTACTCCAGTGCGCACCCTTTGCCGGGGCATAGCAGTACGGTCAGGGGAGGGGGTGCACTGGGCTGCTGCTGCTCACCCACTGATCATTCTTGGGGGTGCAGCTTGGGTGCAAATCCCTATGGGCTGCTCTGCCACAGCAGAAAGACAATTGGGAGCACAGCAGCCAGCCCAGCAACAGGAACATGGTGGCCAAGCAGCCGAAAACGGGAGGCAGCTCCCTGTCTCAAGGGGGGGCTTGGCCGTGGGAGCCCCCTTGCTAAAAACTGGGAGTCATATCAGTAATACAAATATATTCCATATAAATAAGTTTAATGTAAATATATGGCTTATAATACAATATGTATTATGTTTGTATGTTTTGTACGTTTGTACACTGAAATAATTTTTTAAAAAAATGTCGGCCCCCTCACAGTTTTAATGCTAGCACCACTTTTGGCTCACAGGGTAAAATTTCTGCTCACAAGACTGCATGCCTTAGAGGGAATATTGGTTGCAAGCAAGGCCTGTTGCCAGCTGCTGCTGATGGCAACCTGGAGTAGTTGCAGCAGTATTCCCAAGCAGCTGGCTGCTAACAAGGGCTAGTTATGAAGCAATAAGTGATTCTGTGGCCATAACACCTGACTATGCTGTCTTTGTATGGCCTTGGACTGGCTTGGGACCATGACTTTGTCACTCTCTGGCTTGTGGATGACCCTTGGCTCTCCTGGCTATGCTCTCTGCTTCACCCCTTCTGGTAATGACCCCCTGGCTTGTGGACTTTTGGCTTGTGGACTTCTGGGACTGAACTCTGGACTTAGTGTGAGCACCTGAGTGTGCCTGGCTTGCCTGCCTGTGCCTGCTATATGACGATATAACCTGAAGATGACCTGACATCAGGAAAAACTAGCTACTTGCTAGGATTACAGAAATTAGTAGTTGTGGACTGCTGAGTCTGTACATATTGATAACATTACCTGATGCAGTGGGATCCATACCTTCTGGATCTGAACTTTCACTTAGACTTTGACAGATTTCAGAAATGGAATGAATGCATGGACTCTGTAGGGTTTTGTTTCTTGATTTTGTGCATGCACGTTTTCCAAACATTTAGCACATCATTTAATAGTTGTAAGCTCCCAACAACCCGGCAATGCCGGGGGCTGCTTTGCCGCCCTAAGGAAGCCGGGCAGCAACAGAGCCACGTCACCTGGCGTCATGATGTAGGCGGGGGGGCGGAGCCCACATTCCAGGCTCCACTCCCGCCCAAGCCAGTTGCTCTGTGAAAAGGGCAAAAAGGCTGGTCAGGGAGTGACGCCTGCCTTGCCTGTTCTGTGCTTGCTTAGTTGGTCCCGTGCCCCAGTGTTATGTTAAATAGTTAGTAAAGTGGCCCTTGTTTACTTCCAAACTGTTGTCTGTCTCTTTATTCCGACTGGGGGGGCAAATGGAATGTGCTTTCCATGAGTCTTAAGTATCCATGATGTTACACTTTAACAGAGTGACTGGTCCAAACGAAGAAGGTCCATTCTACTGGTGTAGTTAAAAAACTAAAGAGATGGCCAAAGGCATCTACAAAGTACTACTACTTACCTCCAGAAATGTAGCTCAAATCCTTCACATTTATCTTTGCATTTCAAGCATGGGGCTCCAAATCCTTCTTCATGCCCTAAGCCCATCTGTAAAAACACAAACACCACCCACAAAAAGTATTATTTCTATAACAGATCTGAGCCCTCCTCTAAGTCACATGGTAATTCATTTTTTAACTTTCTGTACAGCATTCAAATTTTGGTCCTATTTTATTTGTTTATTGCCTTACAAGTGTTACAGGGACTCTGTTGCTTGGTGTATTTTGTACTATTTGACCTCTAAAGAAGGCTCTCATAAGCCGAAATGTGTCAGGACATACACTGTCCTTTATTTGTGTATTTGTTACTTTGAACATTTTATGCGGCTTTATTTGGGCCCCTATAAGGTTTTTATATGTCTTTGAAATAAACACTCTCTTGTATACTTACTTATGTTTTTAACTTTTGGCCCTCAGTAAGTTTTCTAAACTTCTTTTGGAGGTTTGTGCTTAGTTGGTTTAGATTCCCCCCCCCTTTTGGGGGGGTGAAATCAAATGTAACTTGAACCTTGTAAAGTCCACTCAAATCAGATCAGCACAAATGCAGTCAGATTTCTCTTTGACATTTTTGGCAACAACAGTTCATATTCCCAATAGAGCAAACTGATACTAGACTGCTTTTAAAAGCTACTTGGCTCTTTAAAGTGGAATTATGATTAGAGAATTTAGCTACCTGAATTTATACAGGGAGCTAGTTAATTTTGTAAAAAATTACAAAACATGGCATGTGGGAGCAATCAGTCACCAGCACCCATGGATCCAGCTCATAGTTTATTCTTAAAAAAACAACAATTGTGACAATACTCAGACTTCCCCTGCCAAATTCAGTATGTTTTTCCAATTATTATCATATGCATAAGCAAGATATTTCCAGATGACTCAAAAATTCACTGTGAACCATACACAATACATCTATGAAACATACTATAGTCATTCTTGCTTTGAGGATTGAATACAAGCAGCACTTTTGCTACTGAAAACATGAGGAGGGTTCCCTTTACCCCCCCCCCAAAGGCTATGCTGGGAATTGGGGGGCCTGGGCGGATAAAAGCCATGTAGGGTGGGGACTAGAGTAAGGAGAGGAACTGTATGAGATTGAGTGAAAAAGATGGGTGGATGCAGCCCTATATCAAGGGTTGCTAGGCCTCCTGCCTCCAGTACCTGCTGCTGTTCAGAGTGGTGGCAGGAGAAAAATATTTTAACAATCCACCACCATCCTCTATGTTTATTTATTTATTTATTTTTCATACTTTTAACCTGCCCTCCCGCCAAGGCGGCTCAGGGCGGCTTACAATAATTAATACCAATATACAATTAAAACCAGTTATCACAACTAATACAACGCCTAACCATAAAACATTACAATAAATTCAACCTACTGAGATTTAGCAGCCATCCGTTATAAAGTGCTAGTGCTTAAGTGATATGGCCAGTGTGGCCAGGGCTATTAAAACGCTTGTCGGAACAGCTCGGTCTTCACCGCTCTACGGAATTGTTGAAGTTCCTGCAGAGCTCGAATTTCAATTGGGAGCTCGTTCCATAGCATCGGTGCAGCTAGGGAGAATGCCCTGGTTCTTGTTGCTGTTAACTTAGCATCCCTAGGGCCAGGGGGGACCAGGCGGTTTTGTGTCCCGGATCTCAGTGCTCTCAGGGGAACTGGGTTGGTACTGGGTTTACCATGGAGTCTCCACAACCCATTGTCACTGCCAGGCTGTACCCAGTAGCGATGTACAGTTGTCAGTGATATCACAAGCCCTCATTTCCTCACCCCTCTGCCCTCCAGCTAATTGCCAGCCTGCCAACCCTACCTATATCTATAATTATAGAGTTAAGCTTTGAAACTAGCTCAGATTCGGGAAACACTAAATTTCAAAATAGACAAGATATGGCTTAGTTTGCAAGACAGAGTAAAAAAAAGCTGATTAGCTTAAAGATCAACAGAGTATTATTGTTTTCTAAAAAGGGGAAATGGCTGTAAACATGTCAACTCTATTACTCTTCCAACAGAAGTTTGCTTTATGAAATAAACCTGATTTTTTCCTATCCAGTGTTGGGATACAGTACATGAGGATGGATACTCAGTACTGCTCTGCTCACATCAGATTTAGCATGCTTCATTTTATTATTTAACAGCTGGCCAGAGGCCCTGAACTTTTAAAAAGAGAGCACGAGAGAGGGCAAATCCAAATCCATAAAGTATAGTCAGACTAATCACAAGTAGTTCTTCAGAATGGCAGTAATCCTTCTGTATCTATAGTAAAGAGATCTAATGTGGTCTTATATTACTAATAATAGGGTCTTTGTTTTCCGTTAGATCAGTGTAACTTACTCTGCAGATCATGGACAGCCATATTTGCAGTTCCTATCAATCCAAAGAGTCACATGAGTACTGTATGACCTGCACACCAACTCAAACATGGACAAACCAATATCATAAGCGTCTCCAGAGGTGTCAACCAAGGATGTATTCTTGCTCCCATTTTGTTTAATTTTTATATTAACTTGATAGCAAAGTCTCTTGAAAGCGATATCTACCACCATCCCAAACTGGCATTACATCTGCTCACAACTCTCCTTTATGCAGACAACATTGTATTACTGTCCTTAACTTCCACAGGTTTAAAGCAGTTATTGAGAGCACTTGCTGAGTTCTGCGACAAAGAAGAACTAACAATCAACTTTAATAACTCTGAAGTGCTTATATTTTCTAGACAGAAAACCAAGCACAGATGGATGATTAAAGGAAATAGCATAGAACAGGTCAAATGCTACAAATATTTAGGGATAGTCTTTCATTCTTCTGGCTCTTGATCTGCTCAATTAAAATAAATCAAAGCAAATGCTCAAGGAAGTCTAACAGCGCTATTGAGATTTTTTTTACACGAAGGGAGGACAACATATACCACCCGTGATTAAAGTTTTTGATGTGAATGTTGAGAACCAAATGCTGTTTTTATTAAAACTCTGTACTCCTGCAATCTACACAAACCAAATTTATAAGATCCATTCTGAACTTACCAGCTTGCATACCAAATTCAATATTACGCCTAGAAACAGGCCTGATTTCCATTGACGTTTGGGTGTGGCTTTCTGAGATGAGGTATTAGCTGAAATGAAACTATTTTCCCAACAAGTCTAGCTCCATTAACTTTGTTGGATCATCATCAATCAAGATGGAAAAAGTCCCTGAACTTGAAAGTACAGAAAATGGGACTGTTGCCAAATAACCTGCTGAATGTGGGATATACAAGAGTGATATGTGAAATCAGCCAAAGATATAAAGATATCAAGCTACAACCAGAGGTCATTTTGGGGGGGATCGCAGTTCCCCCGGGTGAGGTACAGGGGCGGGGCACATGACAAAGCCCCAGCTTCCGGCCGCCCCGCTTCCGGCCCTCATTCAGCCAGGAGGAGGCAGGAGAAGAGGGAGGGTAAGTTGCTTCCTCCCTGCCTCTCCCCACCCCTGCCTGCCTGGGGCCAGGGAGGGCCTTGGCGGGGCTTCCTTGCACTCCCGCCGGCCTTGCAGGTCCACCGCCGGGCCCCTCATGGGGCTCAGCAGTGGAGCTGCAAGGCCACTGCCGGCGGCCAGGACTGTTGGGGGCGGGGTGTGTGGCCTTATGACACACTTCCAGTGATGTCAGGGGGTGTGGCCTTATGACACTTCTGGTGATGTCAGGGTGTGTGGCATATGCTAATGAGTTCCCCTAGCTCTTTTTCTACGAAACAACCCCTGGCTACAACAGCATCTATTCTGCTAGGAAATAGTACTACATAGAATATAGCCAATTCAAACTAGCAAATTATTTAGGAACTCTCACAGTACTGAACCTAAGATCAGCTTTTTCCCAGGCACATTTTTTGGGTATTTTTATATGTGCATGTGTGTGAGTTTGTGTGCACCTGAAAGTCATGGCGACCTCTGGTGACTGTCCCCTACTGGGGGCCTGAAGAATATTTATAGAGAGGTGGCTGAATAAAGCCTGCCCCCACCTCCTGCCTCTGTTATTTCAAGGAGGTCTCCCATCTAAGTACTTGCCAGTCGACCCTGCTTAGCTTCCGAGTTCTGATGAGATCAGGCTTGCCTGGACTATCCAAGTCAGGGATTTTTTTTGGGGGGGGGGGTTGTAACCAGGCACATTTTAATGTTCTCCCCTTAGCACTTTTAAAAGGAAGATACCAAAAAATCCTGTATCCTGAACACATTTGTCCTTGTGGTTACCAATAGGTTGGATCAATACAGCATGCCCTTTTATACTGCCCTTTTTACAAAGACATGTGTGATGATCTTTAATCTCCATTATTACTAAAATCCCCAGGAAGAGATGAATTTTTTTAATCTTACTGTTCTCCTTATAGATAAATCACATCAGACTATGGTGAAAGTTGCAAGATATTGTACTAAAGCAAGATTGTTCCCAACCTCATTGGAGAAATAGAATGGACACTGCACTTTTAAAATGTTAATGCTGTAACAAGGATGCTATGTGTGTGTGTGTGTGTGTGTGTATATATATATATATATATGTGTGTGTGTGTGTGTGTGTGTGTGTGTAATATTGCATTTTTATCTTAATTTATTGTGTTTATTTCTGCTGGCCATTGACTATGATAATCAGTCACAAACAATAATTACCACAGCTCTTCTGAACATCTAGAGCAGAGGTGTCAAACTCATTTGTTATGAGGGCCGTATCTGACAGAAATGAGACCTTGTTGGGCTGGGCCATGTGTATTATAAAATGTAATGCCAGGTAACAGAGATATAAACTTTATAAAGGACACAGACAAACATAATTTAAGATTATTTAAACTTTAAATAAAACATGCTTAAAACACTAGCACTCTTGCAATATGTTGCCTATTTAACGGTCTTTGATAACTGACACCTCTTACTCTGAATTATGGCATCAAAATGTCTGTGCTGTAGCAATCTTGAGTATGCTGTTCAGGTATGTATCTGTAAGCTGCAAACCTACTTTTGATTTATTGACATTCATTACAGAAATCTCAAGCTCAGAATTATGAGCCTAGGACCCAGGAGAAAACATG